TTGCTCTATTTTCACCTGTAAAGCAGGACTGGGGTAGGCGGAGGTTTACCCTGGTGCAGGTGTGCTGCGGTCAGTTGAAGAATCTGCGGGTTTGTCTGTGAGGTTCCCATTACGTTGTTGCGCACTCGGTGCTTGTTTAGGGGTTTTTTCGCTGTAAAAAGAAGTTTTCTTCCCACGTACAACGGACACTAATGTTTTTGTCACTTTTTATGGAATCAAACTCAAAGTAAGGTCAGTACTTCCACGCTTGAAACGCTGCACGCTCATACTCCCTCCCACAATCATATGTGATCCATTGTTGATCTGCACACAGCTGTTGTCACTAACGGCGCACTCGCTTACGTCACTGTCGTGAGACATTCTCGCTAAAAAAAAAAAAAATAAAAAATAAAAAAAAATCACGGTTTTAGTAACGCAGTAACCCAGCGTTCCTACGGGAAAGTAACGGTAATCTAATTACCATTTTTGCAATAGTAATCCCTTACTTTACTCGTTACTTGAAAAAGTAATCAGATTACAGTAAGGCCCATCTCTGGTTTCAGTCAATATGCAAATGTCCTGTTTATACGGATGGGAACCTAAAGTGTCAATGGGATGAGCGATGAAACATTTCTCCCACTGAAAATGCTACGTCCAGATGAACAGAATTAAGTTTTTAGGTAAACCTAAGACGATTCAGTTTTATCCCTAATTGCCGTGACTCTCTTTGTTCTTGGCTCTTTCTCTTCCATACACTGTAGTTCAGGCTCAGGTGGGCAGGGCAGGAGTGTCAGATATGAGTGCATCCTCCCTTTTGCCGTGGCAAATAGATGTTACACAAGCACTGCTGCACTTTCTGAGAATGAACCAGATTCATAAATGGGATTGTAATCTAGCAGTTTTGGTCTCCTAGATAACCTTTTTCTACTTTCGTCAGATTTCCAGTTGGTTACAGCAGTTTAAATAAAGACACAAGAAATTATGCTTGAAGGTTTTTTTTTTGGTTTTTTTTATTCACATATCTGCTACATACTTAAGGAATGATATCCGATGTCGACATGATGGTTTCAAGGTTTATCGGTGCTACTTAGTGATGGAAAAGGGACGTAACCTTTCATTTCTGTGCACACCATGAAGGCCTCTCCATTTTTGGTCTCATCTGTCACCAGCTCAAGGATGCACTCTGCTACCTCAGGTGTACTGAATCAAAAAGGTACAGTGACATCAGTGAATATGCATGTACACATTATTATATCAAGTTATACAGATGGAGCAGAGAAACAAAATGTCGATGTTGTAAGGTTTATGACTGCTTTAACAAGAAACAGAAGAAAATTACTCACTTTAACACCCCAAGCTTTTCCACAAGCTGGTTGGCTGCACCCTTCAGGTGAGCAAATTGTCCCAGTTTGTGTTCGATTGTCGTAAAAAGTTCGGTTCCAACAAAACTTGGACAAAGAGCGTTGACCCGTATTCCATAGTTTGATGCTGCAGAGGCAGCCTAGTTAAAAAAAAAAAATTCACATAATTAGCCTTCTTGGTTTAAGTAAAGCATAGCACGGACATAAACATTAAGTTACTGTTTGTTTCTAATCGGAGGCATTAAAATGCAGGTTATATATATTTCTCAAGTGTTCGGAGACCAATAGATGACTATTTGGGCATTTTAAATTGAAAAAAACAGCAGTAGGTTGGAGTTACACATAGAGCACATGTACATGTTGATTCATAACTCTGCACTGAATGAACATGAGCAGCAGATTTTTGGACAACCCATTGTTTTTGTCTCTAATACACCAACACAGTAGAGTTTAAACACAGCCTCCCACTTTCAGAGGCTCGAAAGTAGTAGGATAGAGTAACATTATTTTAAGTCTGAGGCTTGTTTTTAATACTTGAGTGAGAATCCACTGCAGTTAGTGACTACCGAATTTTCCGCACTATAAGGCGCACTTAAAATCCTCAAAAATCAACGGTGTGCCTTATGTATAAATTCTGGTTGTGCTAATGACCTCAAAATGATTTAACTGGCTTCTGGCAAACCCCAAGACATGTTGAGGGGGTGATTTAGCCATTTAAAGCAGCTGTGTTGGATCAAGGACACATCTAAAACCTGCAGGAAACCGTCCCCTGAGGCCTGGAGTTTGACACCTGTTGCAGTAGATACACTGGCATCTTCATTAATATCACACTCAACTGACTGCGTTTCGTCTTCCCATTGCACTGATGGGTGGACAGTTCTCAGGTGCCTGTGCATGATATCCTTTTCATGCACACTCTACAGTCTGCCTATGTATTGTCAATAAAATTTAAATGGTTCCAGATTTTGCTTATTTTCTTGGTGTCACTCATTTTCACTACTATAACTTTCTAATATGCCAATGTTGAGCAGGAGGGAGAGAAAGAGAGCCAGGGGCAACAACAAGAGACAACATAATTTACACATAATTGTGTGCATAATTTTATATTGTTGTTGATAATATAAAATTATCAACAAAACAACCCAAAGAGCCGGTTGGGAGCCGAAAGAGCCAGTTCTCTAAAAAGAGCCAGATTTCCCATCGCTGTAATGTTGGCCTTGTTACGACCCAGGTCATTGTTGCCGTGTGGTGCTG